TTCTTGATGATGACAAAATTGTAGAAACAGAAAACATATGGTTGACAAGGGAAGGAACTGGGGCTGGGGTACAGCAGGGGTGTGGGTGTGTTTATAAAACAGCAATACAAGCAATCCTTGTGATGGAACTGCTCTGTATCTTAACTGTTGGTAGACACAAAAATCTACACATGTGCTAAAAGAGCACAGAAGTACACACACACATAGACACACACACATGCATGCACGCATGCACATAAAACTGGAGAAAGCTATATAGGATCAGCAGATTGTATCAATGTTGGCATCCAGGCTGTGACCTTGTGCTACAGTACACATAGTATACATAGTACATATACACACAGATAGTGTGCAGTACAAGATACCAGAGATCTCTCTGTATTTGTTATTACAAGTGCATGTCAATCTACAATTACCTCAAAATTAAAAGATTAGGAAAAAAGCACCACAACATTTTCTTTTGGAAATAGGAATGGGGATTCTTAAGTTCACTTGGAAAATAAGCAAAATCAGGACAAAGCAAAAATATTTACCTTGACTTCTACTCCAGGTAGAAGTTTAAGCCAGGGCAGTAAGGCAAGAAAAATTAAGTCACCCACACAAGAAAGAAAAATTAAGTCACCCACACAAGAAAGAAAGAAAATAAAACCACTGGCATCTATCTTAGCCTCTCTGGAGAGAAAGAGGGTTCCTGTTTGTCTCCCAGAACCATCCCACACAGAAACTGGGGGAACCAGATGAAATTGGACATGGGTGAAAGGTCAAAGCAGAACTTAAAAGCCCAGGCTTTATTGTGCAGAACAGGACAAAAAGCATAAAGAAAAATATAAAAGAAAATAATCCCTGGGACAGAAAGAAGTATTTTCTAAGAAAACCATCAACACTGTTTAGTCAAAGTTTACCCCTCCCCTCCAAACACACACTTGAGATCAGGAGTTTGAGACGAGGCTGGCCAACATGGCAAAATCCCATCTCTACTAAAAATACAAAAATTAGCTGGGCATGGTGGTGGCTGCCTGTAATCTCAGCTACTTGGGAGGCTAGGCCCGAGAACTGCTTGAACCTGGGAGGTATAGGCTGCGGTGAGCTGAGATCATGACACTACACTTCAGCCCAAATGACAGAGGGAGACTCTGTCTCAAAAAAACAAAACAAAAAATATAAGTAATTTAGCAACATTGCAGGATACAAGATCAATATACAAAAATCAAATGCATTTCTTATATATTAGTCATACATGAATACAAGTTGATATGAAAATAAATTGCTGACAGTTGTATAAGATCTGTGTCCTGAAAACCTTGCTGAGAGAAATTAAAGAACAAGATAGTTGGAGAGATACTATGTTAATAGATCAGAAAACTCAATGTGGTTAAGATGTCAATTTTCTCAAAATGTTTTACAAGTTCCATGAAATCCCAATCAAGATTGCAATGGGCTTTTTTGTAGCAATTGACATGCTCATCTTAAAATTTATATGAAAATGCAAAGAACCTAGATTAACCAAAACAACTTTGAAAAGGAGACTAAAGTTTGAAAAACTACCTAAAGTTGAAAACTACCTAATTCCAAGACTGATTAGAAAGCTGTAAGTAACTGAGACAGCACTCGTATTGATATAAAAATAAACAAATATATCAATGGAACAGAACAGAGAGCCCAGAAATATTCACCCATATATGGCCAACCAATACAGAGCAATTTAATGGGGAAAAAAATAGTCTTTCAACAGATGGATATCAATGTCAAAAGGAACCTAAATCCATAGCCAACAACATATAAAAAATTAACTCAAAAAGGATTATAGACCTAAATGTGAAACCTGAAACTGTAAGACTTATAGAATATATTAGACAATTTGTGACATTGGGTTAGGCAAACATTTCTTACATACAATATCAAAAGAATAGTCCATAAAATAAAATTTGGGGCAGGGCACAGTGGCTTATGCCTGTAATCCCAGCACTTTGGGAGGCTGGGGTGGGGGGATCACCTGAGGTCAGGAGTTCAAGACCAGCCTGACCAACATGGTGAAACCCTGTCTCTACTAAAAATACAAAAATTAACTGGGCGGGGTGGTGGGTGCCTGTAACCCCAGCTACTTGAAAGGCTAAGGCAGGAGAATGGCTTGAACCCGGGGAGAGGACGTTGCAGTGAGCTGAAATTGTGTCACACTCTGGTCGACAGAGCAAGACTCCATCTCAAGAAAAAAAAAAAGAAAATTTTGATAAATTGACCTATACCAAAATTAAATACTTTGCTCTATGAGAAACACTATTTAAAAAATGAAAAGATAAGGCACACACTAGGCAAAAATAATTGCATATCACATGTGATACAGAATTTGTATCAAAAATACATAAAATTTCTTAGAATTCAACCAAATTAACATACAAAAGATCTAGACAGACATTTCATCAAAGAAGACACAGATGGCAAATAAGCACATGAAAAAATGCTCAATACCTAATTGGTCACTAAAACTACAGGATACCACTCTACACCTAAAAGAAGGCCTACTATTTAAAAAGACTGCTAACTACCATGTACTGGCAAAGACGTAGAGTGAAGCAACCAAAAGTTGAACAAAGTTACGGTGGCAATGGAAAATGGTATAACCACTTTGGAAAACATTTTAAGAAATGTTGGGACATTTCTTAAAAAATTAAATGTGTACTTACCATAAGACCCATTTAGTACATTCTGAACTACTTATTTATCCAAAAGAAATAAAAGCAGTCATTCATATAAAGATTTTTTTTTTTTTTTTTTTGGAGTTTTCACTCTTGTTGCCGAGGATGGAGTGCAATGGCACGGTCTCGGATCACCGCCACCTCTGCCTCCAGGGTTGAAGCAATTCTCCTACCTCAGCCTCCTGAGTAGCTGGGATTACAGGCATGCACCACCACACGCAGTTAAGTTTTGTACTTTTAGTAGAGACGGGTTTTCTCCATGTTGGTCAGGCTGGTCTCGAACTCCCGACCTTAGGTGATCCACCCAACTAGGCCTCCCAAAGTGCTGGGAATACCAGTGGAGCCACTGCGCCTGGCCTCTAAATATAAAGACTTCTACAAAAATGTTCATAGCAGCTTTACTCATAATAGCCAAAACCTGGAAATAATTGTCTATCAATAGGTTAACAAATAAATAAATAGTTATCCCTCATACATTGGACTACTACTGACCAAATCAAAAGAAATGAAGATGCAACAGCATGGATAAATCTTGAAATGATCATGCTGAGCAAAAGAAGTTAGAAAAGAGTACATATTGTAGGATCCCATTTCTATTAAATTCTAAAGGGCACAATCTACTGAATAGCGACACAAAGCAGCTGAATCTACCTGATGATGGGAGAGGAGAGGTTGGAGGGTTATAAAGTGGCATGAGACAAATGTGTTGTCACCTGTGAATATTCTTTATTCCAGATGTACTAATTATTTTGATTGTGGCGATGGTATATTCATATTATCAAAGCTTAAATTGTACACTTTAAATACTATAGTTTACTATCAATTATACCTCACGAAAGTGACTAAAAAAGAAACTCACCACACTTTCTTTTGAAAACAGAAAAGATGATTCTTAAGTTCCTATGGAAAAAACAGTAAGCAAGTGAGAATAGTCAGGAGAATCCTAAAAAAAAGCCCCCCAGCAGAACAAAAAGAGAAAGAAACTGTTGAGACACAGTTTTAATAACTGGTGTCTTAATAACATGATAAAGCTACATAGGGTTCTAAATTATAATAATTAAACCAAATGATCCAACAGAGATTAATGATATAAAGAAGTCCAGAAAAAAATTACATATATATAAAGAATACATTAATATACTACAGACTAGGCACAGTGGCTCATGCCTGTAATCCCAGCATTTTGGAAGGCTAAGGCAGGAGGACTGCTTAAGCCCAGGAATTCAAGACCAGCCTAGGCCACATGGCAAGATCCCCATCTGTACAAAAATTTAAACATTAGCCAGGCATGGTGGTATACATTTGTGGTCCAAGCTACTCAGGAGGCTGAGGCAGGAGGATCTCTTAAGCCTAGGAGTTTGAGACCAGTCTGGTCAACATAAAAAGACTGCACAGAAAAAATTTCAAATTAGCTGGGTGTAGTGATGCATGCCTATAGTCGTAGCTATTAGGGAGGCTTGGATATGCAAGGCTGAGGTTACAGGGAGCTGTGACCACACCAGCACTTCAGCCTGGGTAACAGAGCCAGATCCTGTCTCAAAATGAAACAAAAAAAACAACCTTCCAAAACCCCATGTGGCAGTTGCAATCCATAAAAATGACTCGATTCTAACACTTATGAATCTATTTTATAAAAATAAAAAATGTGATCCAAGAATTATTTCAAGGTTGTTCAGTGTGGAGCTCTTTATAAAATGATGTTGAAACTACTTAGATGTTGAAAAAATTGTGACTTGAATTATGGTATGATATTTAAATAATAAAAATAAAATCTTTGAACAAATGACAAAAATTATATAAAGTACATCACTTAACCAATCCTCCTGCCAAAATTTATGTAAAGTACAACTAAAAAGGTTTACACACATGACTTTTAAATGACTAGAAAGAAGTACTTCAAGAAGTTAGCAAAGGTCTTTTTATGGGTTGGTAGAATTCTGGTATGTTATGTACTTTTCATTCTAAATTTTCCATAACACATGCTACCTTTATCATCAAAAGAAAAATATAAATGTTATTTGTGTTTATTTTTCACATCACACAAAATCTATTTTAACAAACACATGATAAAATTTATGGAAAGTTCCTCACTTTTCTTTCAGGTCCATAGGTAATCAGTTAGCCAACAGGAGAAAATAAGTTCACCATAAAAAGAAAAACCAGAATATTACCTGGTTCATTACTCCTGTCTGAATTCCCAAAAGCATTTCACAAATGACTATTTTCAACTTGACTATTGTCTAAGATACAGAAAAAAATAAAGTGTAGAGAAACCAGTTCTCCTGAAGAAAGTAGCTCTTTCCTTACCATCTTCTGCTAAGATCTTGGCTGCATCTTTATCGTCTTCCCACTTTCCAGTCACGAAGCAATCTCTGATGCTGTTCATGACCTTATGCAGAAAAGTCAGCACTTAGGTGAGGTGTTCCAATCACTCAGCAAAACAATATAAGACGTGGTAATAGGCGACAACTTGCCTTGAAATATTTTCCACGTTCATGGATAGTCTCACTGCAAATGAGCCTAGGAAACAACTTTACCTTTGACGGAGACAGTTTAACCACAGAGATAAAAAACATTAAGCAGCAGATAGGGAAAGTATTAAATACTACTAGTCTACTGACTTCATAAGTAAACAAACAGATAATTACTAATTCAGCTAATTTTCAATTTTATTAAAGTTTCTAAGGGGGATGCAATGAGACAGTTTACATATTGGTCTTGCTACTCGTTAATCTAAACATGTCTGTTTGAAAACTTAATTCCTATACAATGGGAGAAGTTATATGAGAATTATATATCTGATAATGGACTTATATCCAGAATATATAAACAATGCATACAACTAAGTAATCCAATTTTTGAAATGGGTAAACAATATGAAGATATTTTCCAAAGAATATATACAAATAGCCAATAAGCACATGAAAAGATGTTCAACATCATTATCTATCAGGGAAATGCAAGTCAATACTACAATGAGATACTACCTCACCCCCTCCAGGATGGCTATAATCAAAAAGACAGATAATAACAAGTGTGGTGAAGAAGTGGTGAAATTGGAACCCACATACAGTACCAGTGTGTAAGAAAAACATCACAGTCACTTTTGAAAAGAGAAATGAAAGAGTATATGAGGTGAAAAAAAATCTTTAACTGTTTTCAGTAATCATATTACTCTGACACTGTTTTGTGTGTAATAATAGGATAAAACAAATGAGTAATTATGAGATTCTCTAATTTCATCATCTTCTGATTCAACCAGGGAATAATTGTCTAGTAGAAGAATGAATAAGATGTAGTCCTGAATTCGAACTGGAAATATCTATATGAACTCACCTGCTTCAGGTCACTGAGAAGCCCTAGAAGTGATGACCAACTCATGGCAGTAAGCATTCCCATGCCTAGGCTGTCATGTTGAAATACCATTTTCTACTAAAAGACATCAGAACTTTTTATGGGTGATTCCAAGTGCTCTCTCACATCAGAGAGCAAGGATTGATTAAGGATGACTACGATCATCACATAAAGACTCAGGAGCTGGCGTGCAGAGACTTCCACAGGCCACAGGTGGGATAAAGAGAAGCTTTCATAAGGATAACAGGTGCACCAGCACAAGGCACATCAACTACATTTATATCCATGACATCACAATAATATTTACAAACAAGTATCCTTTGGAGAATCACTCTAAAAACTGATTTAAAAATCAAGTATTTACCCTATATATTTGGAAGTGGATAACCAAATAGTAGAAGAGGAAACGTTTCTCTTTAAAGAAGTATTACAGCTAATAAATAAAGAGAAATGATGAATAGAACATCACTACTCTATGTTCTTAAGAAGTTAATGGTTCTAGGCATTGATCATCAACAACCGATAACATTTAACTCATTAAAAACACACAACTGGTCTTTATGCGCCTCCTAATCAGAAAACACCACCACCTGGAAAGCAGTTTTGCTGAAAAATAAAAATCAAATTTAAATACTATTCAACTGCTAGATGTTTTGTCCATCAGGTAACTAGAACCACATGGCTATTTAAAATAATCTTAACCAAGATTAAATAAAATTTAAAATTTATTCTCCAGTCTCACTAGCAGCTCAGTAGCCACAACCCCCAACTCAGATACACATTCTGCTCATCACAGTTCTATCAGTTTTGCTCCCTACCCATTCACAGGAAATATAGGAGGGCCTGAGAAACTGCAGAGGGATGCAAAGCAATCCAGGAAATCCAGAAGAAAAGAAACTATACAGACCAATGACGTGGTTTCTTAAATAAAATGTAACCAAAAAAAGAAATGAAAAGGAAGATTGTTGACTAAAAAATTTAAGATAGACTGAAAAAGTCATGAAAATCAGGTAAAAGTAAACTACGATGCTTATGGAAGCATGGAGGAGGAAACAAGGAAGAAAAGGAAAGAATCACCATAAGAGGCTGGACCACACCTCTTTCTACCGGGAGAAAGGGGACCCTGGTTGGTGTTGCAATCAAGCAGCAAAGTTTGATTTCGCAGCCTGAGTGCTGAATACAGGGGTATTCATCTTCTGGCAACCCATTAAGTTAAACAACTGTTTTCACGTGGTTTTCTATAGTCGTATTAAATTTCACCATCAAAAATGCTTCAGTAAAATCTCATAAAGTACATTATTACCTGGCAAATTAAAATTGGCAGGATGAGAGCAACTGGGCCTCTGTGAGAAGTGTTATCTAAGCCAAACTGAATTGACAGAAAAAAAGGTAGCCTTTGGAAGATCAGAACATTCCAAAAGAGAATATAAAGAAAGGGGTTGGTGCGATGGCTCACTCCTGGAATCCCAGCACTTTGGGAGGCCAAGACAGGAAGATCACTTGAGCCCAGAATTTGAGACTCTAGCTCAACATGGTGAAACATTGTCTCTACAAAAAATGCAAAAATTAGCCTGGCCTGGTGGCTCATGCCTACAATCCCAGCTATTCCAGAGGCTGAGGTGGGAAGATCCCTTGAGCCCAGGAGATCTAGGCTGCATTGGACCATACACTCATGCCACTACACTCCACCCAGGACTGCAGACCAAGACTGTGTCTCCAAAAAAAAAAGAGACAGGGAAATAAAAGATCTAAGAGTCGGAGGAGGGAAAGCTGTGGCAAGTTTCAGTGTGACTACAAAGTGGTGGGCTACAGGAAGAACATTTATAGGTATCACAGATTTCTGTATGCTTACAAATAGCAGAAACTATAAATGTTAACTCAGGGATGCTACATATATCCTAGTGACGAGACGCAAAATACATCAGATATATAAAAACTTATGTGTGATACTTCAAAATAAAGATTTGCACTATTGTCCACACTAGAACCTAAACCTGTCTTCCGTGGGCCATGCACATGGTCTAACTAAACTCAGAACCTGTTATTGCTTAGGATGGATGAAGTACCCACTACAATATCTAGATGACCTGTCATCCTATAAAAATAAGAAGCCAACAACAGGTAAGCAATATTGACATCAGACAATCTTATTCTAGAACAATTCTCTAATAAATCAAACGTACCACCCCCTTACCTCCTCTAAATTTCAGTCATGGGGCGCCTCCACAAGAAATCTGGAGCAGTCCAAAGAGTCGGCCTTGTGTTTACACTCTCTGTCAGGCTGGGTGACACAAAATAACCCTCCAAACTCTTCTTGAGTATCATCATCTTCTTCATTATCTCTGCCTCTAAAGAGAAGACCATGGCAGAAAAGTGAGAACAAAAACTACAGCCCTAGAGAACTCATTGTTTTTAACTAGTTAGGCTATGAGTCTTTGAATTCAGGAACTGAGGGTCTCTGTCTGTGGGGGGTATGATGATAGCCAAATATGAGTCAGGTACTGAGAAGCCGGGTCAGCCACAAGTGAAGAGAGGCCAGGAAGCTATTGCTCTACATGTGTGGGGGCTCCTGTGCTCCTGCATGGCGGCAGCTAAGCGGTCGAGGAGGACTGAGAATATTAAGGGGCGAGGAAGGGAAGGGACATTTAAAAGCAGAGCTGTAGATCACTAAAGAAGAACTCTAAAGAGTGTTGAGCCTCTCATCACTGAGAGTATACCTAAACAACACCTGAATGAAAATCAGTACACACAACTCCCATTTCAGTGTGCTGAGCCCAAATGTCTCACCATGTCGCCTTGATTTCATCGTGCAGTAGCCAGGCACAATATGAAGTTCACCACTATAGATTTATTTTTATATTAATTCTACCACAAAGAACATACAGGTAAGTTTAATAAAGCATAAAATCAGAGGACAAGGGCAAAAGGGAGAACAAAATGTATGATACAGGGTTCTCATTTTCAGAAAGGAACAAATAAATATTTTTATGGGCAGAAATATTTTTTTGGCACTAAATTCTACAAAAAATTTCTCATTAAAAAGAGGACATCACATGATGCAATGACAGTATTTGCATCAAGTTTTACAGCAAACCCCTAAGTGTACTTCACAAAACCAATGTGTGGTCCTCATAAGCTGATGATTAAAGACATCTACCAAATAGGAAATGTGATGGCCAGCAATTATGGATGTCAACAATACCAGCCCAATCCTCCAGCCAATTCCCTCATCTCCTTTTCAGAAAATAATCACAGAAACTGAAACGTTTCCAGCTCTGAACCAGAATTCTTTACCTGTCCCATAAATAAGCTTTTTGAGGTTTGGAGCTGCTTGCTGCTGCCTCAGAAATGCCTCAGCTGCCTTTCTGGAAAGGTCTTCCTTCCACTTGAGGGCACCTGAAATGACCAACATCAATATCCAGTGAGGCTTGTTTACGTGTCTCCCCTCCCTCAAGACCATCCACAATGCAGCATCTCAACAGTTAACAAATCTTAAAATCAAAAGACCCCCAAATGTAGACGTTCCTTTGGGTACCATTTCGACAGTCAAGTTCATAGTAGCAACCAAAAAAATTTAAGCTTACCTGAGGTTTCTGTGGTATTCTTCTTCTCTTCATTGAAATCTTCTTCCTCTTTGAGTAAATCTCTGTATCACTGGTCTCATCAATTAAGTTCCTTGACCCCAGTTTCTGACCACTGCCCACCTGAGAAGGCCTTGAAAGCTTTTTCCTAAGAGCTTCTTGATTTTCTGAGTCCTCTTCCTCTGTACTGAGCGAGGAGCTTTCTTCAGATTCATCTTCAGATGCAAACACCTCTTCAGCTGTGCAATGCCCAGAATCAGAAATGGTGAGGGCTGCTTTCTTCATCAGCAAAGACTTCTCCAGATTCACATGGTCACTCTGGTGATTAGCTGGCGACAGCTCTGTTTTACTAGCTTCTCCAACAGCCTTTGATCCTGAAATGCCCCTCTTTCCTGCAGTGCAGTCCTCTTCCACAATGCTTTCATCAGCTTCCTCCGCTTCCCCTTCTTCTGCTGAGCTCCTCTCAAGGTCATCATCACTGTCAGCAAATGCTGGCAAATCTACTTCACTGTCTTCTTCTAACTCCTCAAGTTTCCATCGTTTGATGCCCTTAGCAGTCATACACTCATCAGTCACCTCAGCATTTTCCTCCTTGTCTGCTTCCTCATCACTAGAGCCATTTTCCAACCTGTCATCTTCAGACATTTCATCATCATCTTCATCGTCACTATCTCCAGATCCATCTTCCTCACCAAAAGTGGCTTTCCAACACATTCGACCAATTTTCAAGTCCGTTTGTTTTTCCTCCTTTGGCATCAACACCCTATATTATTACCAAGGAAATGCAAAATAATTCAATTTGTACATTAATCAGCTAATCTAGAAATGGCAATATAGTCAATGAAAATACAAAGAAATAGAAAGATGTCAAGGAATTGTTTAAGATGACATAAAACATGAGAAAAAAATGATCTGATAAACATTGTTAGAGTTAATAAGCAAAGTCAGGCATGGTTCCCTAATACCACACTTCAAAACAACTTACAGAGAGAATAAAGGAATAACCCTCTTAAAAAAAAAAAAAATCCATTTTAGAAAAATATTGCTGAAAAGGGAAGTTAATATTTTGTAGATCTTTTGGAAAGCTGATTTATTTCTAAGCTAAAAACACATGATTCTTCAGAGAAATGGCTGAGTCTGGGCCCAAAGCAGAAAGAGGGCAAAATGAGCCTGATCATCTTTTTCTGTGAGAAAGAAATACTCAAAGACTAACAAAGACAGTTGAAAGAACAGAGGAGACAGGCTGAAGGCTCCCACTGCCGAATCTGGGACAGCACAGGCATCAGAAAGGATAATGATAGTGAAGAAAAATAACCCATGGAATAAAATGCAAGTGCATTAGTCAGCAGTGATACCGAAATAAAGGGGAGAAGGGAAAGTTCTTTGTTAAAAATGCCAGCTAACGAATGTAGGACGAGTGACAGAGGAAAAAATTCCATTTTAAGTCACCAGTGCCACAACTGACAGAGAAGAATCATCAGGAGGCTAAAATCACAGAATGAAAGAAAGCTGTATGAAGCTGTTTAACGTAGCATGATATATAAAATTATGAAAACATAAATTAGAAAACACTAAAAATCATACCATAAGAGATGGGTAAGTTAGAATACAGCAATAATAGGCCAAGCATAGTGGCTCACATCTGTAATCCCAGGACTTTGGGAGACCAAGGCAGGAGGACAGCTTGAGCTCAGAGGTTCCAGACCAACCTGGGCAACATAGTGAGACCTCTTCTCTAGAAAACAATAAAAAAATTAGCCGGGAGTGGTTGAAAGGACACAGGAGACAGGCTGAAGGCTCCCACATCCCAGGTACTTAGGGGACTGAAGCGGGAGGATCACTTGGGCCTGGGAGTTCAAGGTTGCAGTGAGCCAAGATCATGCTACTGCACTGCAGCCTGGGAGACAAAGTGAGAACTTATCTCAAAAACAAACAAACAAACAAAAAGAATACAACAATAATAACAAAATGATGACTACATAAAGACTGTATAGAAAAAGGAAATGCTTGGAATATAGAAATAAAACTATGTATTTTAACTCTAACTATATTAGAAGGGAGTATTCTTATAGACAAGGATGACTAGAAGGATACGCAAAAATGAAAATAGCTAATAATGCTCATTATAAAAGAGAGATCTTTTGGTGAACACTTTGTATCTGTCAGGCATTGTGCTAGGTAGTTTATGCACATTGCAAAAAATTTTCTGATAAATTTTACTGGGAGTCATAAATCAATACAACAAAACAAATGTTTTACAAACATCCACTATGTATAACGGCACACAAATTCCCAACCTAGACTGAAAAATAATTTACATAAGCCACACATCAGTGGAAACCTACCCATGGGAGATAATACAACATAATCTAAACAAAACTTTCAGAGACAAGGCACATGGCTTCTGGGCAGCCACAAGCTCCCTGACTCTGCTCTAGTGTTTTGGCCACCAAAAGAAAGCCCAGTGGCCTCAGGTCTTTTAAAAACAAAAAACAACTTATGGAAGGTGGTGTGGCACTTGAGGAATATTTAGGGTCTGTTGAAAGATGCATCCTGTATTTTATTTCAAGAAAATACTACCTTGTAATGTCAGGTATGTGAAGAGCCCTCAGAGACACATGCACACACAAAGAAAACAAAACAACCTGGAATAATCCCACCAAGATGAGTTCTGATGGCAGAACTATGCATCTCTGTAATATATCCTTTTATTAAAAATAGAGAAAAAGCAGACTTACCCTTGACTATCTATATCCTCCAACCCAAGTGCCTTGGAATCAGAAAACAACATCACTCGACTTGAAGCCATCTTGGCATCAATGGTGGAATGGGTGGAGATGAGACTCTGGACCAGCTCATGGGTGGACCCCACTTCGTCCTGTCAAGACCACCAAGAAAGGGGACATGAAGAAAGTATGAAGATCCTGGAGAGACACTGTTTTCACTCAGTTTCTCAAAATTACCTTAGAGATATTTCCTGAGAAACTTTCTTAATGCCTCAAAAAGCAGAGAAGAAAATCTTTACAATAAAGCCTGAAATGGATCCCCATCTCCATTAAACTTTTCCAAAGTTCAGGGAGTATAAAAACCTAAACACCTACCTAGAAAAACCTCAGTTCCAATGCTACAGCCACAATGCTAGCTTTTCTAACATTTTAAAATAACCCTGATTTTAACCCAATACAATTTATCTTCAGAACTAAGAAATAAACATTTGAAACCCACTTTAAAATACAGAGAAGACCACTGTGAATGAGAAAAAGAAAAAGACCAATGAGAGTTGGAAAGCACATTGATTTTGTAGAAACAAGAATGGGCCGTGCAGGTGCCACACTGGCAGCAGTGCCCTCACTGGGGCCATGGATCAAGGAGGCATGGAGGACAGGACTCTTCTTGCTATAATGAAAAAAAAGTTTTCTTTTTATTCTATATATTTACAATATGCATTTGGACCTTTATTATAAGTACAAGAGAAAAGTCTTCAATAAATAAAAGCTGAGTACATTACTTTTGTGATTAAAAAATAGATTAGGAAAGAAGAATGAATTCAGAACAATGACTGTGTCTCACCAATGCCTGAAAATCGTGGCTGCCACCAAGGTCAACATAGACAGCATCTTTATCGCACAGCACACCCCCAACTCCAGAAAGAGGTGCATAAACCAGCTGCTTCTTCTCATTTAAACAGCACTTCTGTTGTTCAGGAAGAGCACAAGGGTCTGGGAGGAAATACGTCACTCATGGTGAAATCTCCTACACCTAGAACACAGGACCCTTTTAAAAAGCCAGCTTCAGCTGACAAGAAGTCAATCAGTAAGTACCTACTGTTCACTGTGGGGATAAAATGATCCACAGTCCAAGGGCTTAAACCATGACACTAAAGAAGGGCATTGTGCCACACTGGAATAGTGCCCCTCTCACTACAAGACAAGAGGTCAGAGAGGAGGGGATTCGATAACACCATTGCAGGCCTAAACATAGCTGGGTTTAAAACCTCCAGCAAGGCCACCTTCCCTTGTTTGGTCATTTTTCAGTTTTCCTGAGAAATGAAGCAATCTCGAGAATCCCATGTGTAATTCTAGCATTCTAACAACAAGACAATACCTGGCATGTGAATCTGGCTTTTATTTTTCAAGTGCGCTCCTCTTAACCATAAAGTGACACCTTCCGGTCACATTTGATGTTTGTTCGGATATCCTCTGTGTTTGTCAAATCTTCCATCCTAGAAAAATAAACTCAGCCATACAGCAGAAATGAATGCCAGAACTTCCTATCCCTCCTTTCATGTGTCAGTGACTCATCACACTCTTGTCTGCTAAGCACGCAGAAATAAGGAAGCAGTGTTCACCATCCACCAGAGGAAAAGGGACAGACACACAACTGTGTCTCTAGGCTGAAAGTGGCACTCATTCCATAAAAAACCAGACAGGGAGATGACGTCCACCTGGGGTCAGGGAAGAGTGAAGAACATATTCAGAAAATCCCTTTCTGGAAGAAGGTGAGCCTGTACTCTGGGACTTTTACTGTGATGTGGATTCTGGCAGGTGGAAAAAGGGTATTCCAGGCTGAGAAAACCACGAGGAAGAGTGCAAAGGAAGGAAACTGAAGGCACACACAAACAAGGCAGCATCACTGAAACCTGAGGTTGAATGTAGGATGGGGCCATATCCTGTAGGCTTAAATGCTTCCAAATCCACCCATTTTCCTAAACATCTCATAATTAATTTACTCCCAAAGGCACAGCATCTTGGAGCAATAAGTAAGTAGACATTTTCCATCAACTACACTTCTACCCCCACTATTCAAATTGGCACAAAATAAATCCTATCACTGTTCTTTTCTTTTTCTAGCCTTCTTAATTTTGAAATATATGGCCCAGGAAGAAAAAGTTTACACTCGCTTTTTACCTGTCTGTCAGGATATAAGGGTGAGTTTTCCATGTGAGAGGCCTAAACTTCGTAACTGTAATAAAACGGCCCATGTTGTGGATTTCTTGGTTTTGATATTCTCTATGCGCCATTCCAGAAAGGTAGAAGAGCTTTGCACCCTAAACATTAAAGGAAAATTAAAACTTAAATTTCAATTAAATTCTTATTAATACTGCTGCAAAATAAAAACTCTAAACAAGAAGCAATTGTAAGAAGGGAGACTTCCAGCAAACCACTGTCCTGAGGCTTCCAGAGCCTTGCTGCCTTCTTTCAGGACTTATTAGAACCCCACAGAGGCAGACTGCTCTGCAGCTGAGCAGAAGTGTCTAAGAATGGTGAGGAGAAGGAGGTGAGGCCTCTGAACACAGAAACAGTTCTGTGGCCAATGAACCAAAGCAGTATGCAAAGGAAGGGGCAGTGCCTGGTCCTATAACTGCGAGGAACTCCTGATATACTCTATTTAAAGTCCCGATCCCAAAACAGCCAGACACTACCTGGTGCAGCAGGTAAAAGAGACCAGTGAGATACACCAAGAGGCTCAGAATAAGCAGTCTCTTGAGGGAAATCTTCCAGAGACTGTGAAAACACACACAGAAAGGAAATTCCAGAGGTGAATGCTATAGAGATGTTTAATAATGTCTCTTCAGTCTTTTTTTTTTTTTTTTTTAGATGAAATCTCACTCTGTCACCCACACTGGAGTGCAGTGGCGCCATCTCGGCCCACTGCTATCTCGGCCCTCTGCCTCCCAGGTTAAGGCAATTCTCATGTCTCAGCCTCACAAGTAGCTGGAATTGCAGGCGCATGCCACCACACCGGCTAATTTTTGCATTTTTATTAGAGATAGGTTTGGCCATGTTGCTCTGAGCTCGAAACTCCTGGGCTCAAATGATCCGCCCGCCTCTGCCTCCCAAAGTGCTGTTATTACAGGCATGGGCCACTGTGCCTGAAATCTTCAGTCTATTTTAAAAAGATTATACTGTTAGTATCCAACAATCATTTCTCTTCCTACTAGGTAAACTTCTCTCCAGAACCTGTGTTTTAATTGCTTCTTTGTCTTCTTCAGTTGCTTATTATGCTTGAAGGAGTCCGGGTGGGTGAGAACTCCCATAATTTTAGGGAAGCCATGTACTTGACAGATGTTTAGAAACTCAAACGTTTCCATTTCAAACCCAAAGCTGGCATCTATAAGCATCAGTACCTAAAAGCAGAACACATCATTTCTCAAAGAAACTACCAAAACACACCACCTACACTAGGGGTTGGCAACTGGCCCATGGGCCAAATCCAGCCCAACTCCTGGTTTTGTAACTAAACTTTAATTGGGACACAGCCACATAATTCATTTACATATTATCTATGGCTGCCTGTGCACTACAACTGCAGAGCTAAATAGCTGCAAGAGATATGATCCACAAAGCCAAAAATATTTACTATCTGACCCTTGACAGAAAAGTCCCAATCCAGACTAAATCAAATGACTAATAGGCATCACCCTATTAGTGAGAAACCACCAACCTCTGACTTGCTTTAAAAGGTAACCATAAGACAACGGCCACTAGGATACAAACTTTCATTTTAAGAATTTCAATGTATGAGAAGTACTCAGAAAAGGCTGGGTCTAACCTGGACCTTACCTAAGAAATCCTAATTTAAAGAAGCGAAGTTTTCTGTAAGGTATTTTTAAGCCAAATAACAGGTCTCTTGACACCCAAAGAATGGGAAGAAAATGATAATCAATGAAATATTAAATATGTTTTAATCTCCTCATAGAAAAAAAATTTGTTTTTTGCTGGGAAGTATGCAGTGGAAACCTTCATCTTTATGTTGATTTGTATAACTCAATTGCTCATAATTTTTTTTTAAGTCAAAATATAGTATGATTATGATGAATCGTAGTCTGTAAGAAAATTTAAGCAGGTAAGACCAATTTTTAAAATTTAAGACACTTCAAAGATGCAAAATAATTTCAGAATCGATTCCTGGAAACTTCTAGTTTTAATATTAAAGACACTTCTGTTCTTATCTTTCCTTAGACAACTAAAAATAACAACAACAACAAAAAAAATGGAAACAGAAATGCCCATCTTTGATTAAACTGAGAAACATTCAAAATCCGAAACCACAGAATATATGAAGCTGGGCTTGTGAGAAAGCACAGCTGTCACTGCAGACTGAGGCAGCAAGCAGAGACCTCTAGCAACACTGGACCAGCTCAAAGGACAGGTGGAATATCTTCACATCACATCTGATGCCACAGAGTGCCAAAGGGCAAGCAGCTGGTTGTAGGGTCAGGAAGAACAGGGGGCAAACAGTACCTCAGCTGCCAATCTTTGTCATCTAAGCCAGTGTTACTCCCCTAATCCACACACACATGTACGCACCTAAATTTACATATTGTGTGTGCCTCTGTGTACTCAGGAGGCTTTGACAGCCCAGAGCAGAGCAAGCAACATAAGGTAGGCTAAATAAATTATGGTGTATCCAAAGAATGGATTAAAAAGGAGGAAGAACTACAATACTTACTGATTACATACCTTCAAGCTATATAACACGAAAAAAGCAAAGCACAGAACAGTGTGTCAAATAAGCTACCATTTGTGTTTTTAAAGGGTGGCGTGTGTGTTTATACACATCTGGAAGGATACTGCTCTGCAGGGATCTGAGAGACCAGCAGTTAGAATAGGGAAAAAGAAAATGTGCATTGTGTGTACCCTGCATTACAGTTAGAGTGCTTTACCGTGTGTGTGTGTTCCTTTTGAAAATCTTAAAAAGATTTACATAATAGGCATCTCTCTCAATGATGGTTAAGAGGCTGTGAAGGGTAGCAGGGAGGTTAACAGATAAAAAAAATACACTTCAATAAAATAAATTCTAGTGTCCAACAGCACAATAGGGTGGCTATAATTTTAATTTAGAATAACTAAAAGAATGAAATTGAAATGTTCCTAACACAAAGAAATGATAAATGTTTGAGGTGATAGATATCCTAACTACCCTGATTTGATCATCACATATTGTATACTTCTATCAAAATACCACATGTACCCCATAAATATGTACAACTATTATGTATTCATAATAATTAAAAATAAAAATGTAATGGCATCTCTTAATATGTATGTCTTCAAAATTAGAAACTTGCTACATTTTAAATAAAAGAGAAACAAATGACTTCTTTCAACTATCCCAATCATTTCAAGTACACAAGATTTAGTAAGCTTACACTACATTAGTAACGACACTTTTTTTTTATTAACAGAAGCATTAAATGTTCAAAATTTGAATGTTATCTAGATTAAGGTAAAAAGAAAATGGTCAAGAAAATATGGGCTGGGCACAGTGGCTCACGCCTTTAGTCCCAAAACCTTGGGGGGCCGATGCAGGCAGATCCCTTGAGCCCAGGAGTTTTGAGACCAGCCTGGGTCACATGGGGAAACCCCATCTTTCCAGGGAAAGGAAAAAAAAAAAAAAGGAAAAATTAGCCAGGCATGGTGGCATACACTACTCAGAAGGCTAAGGTAGGGGGATTGCTTGAGCAGCCTAGGTGGTTGAGGCTGCAGTGAGCTGTAATCACCCCACTGCACTCCAGCCTGTGCCACAGAGTAAGACTCTGTCTCAAAAAAAGAAAAATATGGATGCTCCAAAGATAAAGAAAAGCCTCAATCCAACTATATTATTGCAATAACAAAAGATTTCAGACTGTACATTGCCATTCTCCCACTGGAAGCTTGTTTCATTTTCCCTCAAATTTGGAAAGGTCACCATCTCCCAAAGCAGACAAGTTATCATAGGAAAAAGAGAAAACTCACTTCCACCAGCATGTGGCTTCATAAGGGCAAGCATGTGCGCCTGGTACATGGGAAGTGTGTGCTATCTGTTAAATGATGTGTTCACGAGGTGACCAGGCCTCCTAGGCCCTTCCAAGGAACATACCTGGCAAAGCCATAGGGAAGTCATGATAAGACATGTATCACATCCTTATCTCTGAGAACTTACCCTTTTCTGAAGCTATAGCCAACTTACTAAAAGCATGAGAGGTTAACATGACGTGACAATCTTTAATATGTTCCACAAGAAAACAACAAACACATGCATGTTCCTTAGATGACAACAGCCACACCAACTGTGTCTGTGGCAGCATCTCCTACCTGACATGATTGTCACTGGGCCTCTGATCTCCGTCAAATTCTGCCAGGTGAAGTTCCGAATGAGGCATTGTATCAAAGTTTTCTTTCCAACTTTTTGGAGGCCCCATCACCACCACCACTATTGGTGGGGGCTCTAGTGGAGTTCGATCAACCACTGGAATATGATGCTTCTTTGTCTTCAAATCCTGAGTTCTATTCATGAAAACCAAAAATAGTAAACTCATTTTCAAAATAGAGTAAAAGGTATCAATCTTATAAGTAGGCTTTTTTTTTTTTTTTTTTAGTATACTTATAGAGAGTACTTTAGTATTTTAGAGAGTGCGACAGACAATATATAAATATATTAACTTTTTAATTTCTGGCCCCCATCCAAATAATTGCTATTTGATAACATGTAACAAGATGACTTCAATAGTATATAGAGTTGAAAATTAAACACCCCTTGTATCTGACTGGGTTTTATGAGTGACTAATAGTAAAAGGTAACTACCAAGGCAGTGCATCATACCAGATAAGAGCAGAAGCTCTAGAGTTAAATTTGACTCTTCTATTTACTGGTTATATGATTGGAGATAACTTGTTTTCTTGACCTCAGTTTTCTTATCCCCAAAATGAGGGCAGCCTTACTCTGGTAAGGCTGTTGGAAACATTTAGTTGAAAAATGTTTAAAGTACATTGCTAGGCATATCACAAGTACTCACTAAACAAAGCTATGTTAGTATTAAATACTGTAATTTTTTAATTTTATATGGCAACTATGTAAAACATATCCAGAGGGAAAAAGCACATTTATTACCACAGAAACAGTTTAAAGTTTAGGAACAAACAAATTCTATGAATGCTTTTATCTTGGGCAAGAAACACCAACCAGTGTGCAGATGCTGAAGGCAAGACAGCTTCTATGGGAAAGATTTCTCATGTTTTAGTGAAAGCCACACAGCATGCATCTCCATGTCCTCTGGAGCTGGACTAGACTCGTGAATCCAAATGTCACCTGTTAGAGGCTCCTAATATTTAAAAAGCATCAGTGGAAGAACCACCAGACTGTAGCCAAACATACCTGTGAAAGGGTCGAGCCATCCACACAGCAGACTGAACTGCAAAAGCTTTGGGATTTCTCTTCTGGGAATCTTCTTTGTCTCCTAGCTGGAGATCCTGCAGATGCCGCTTCTTTTTCTTTTCAATTTTGGGCCCACTGTTTTTCTTTCTGTGTTCCTTCTGTTCCTTATCCTCCATAGTGGCTATTTACCAATAACAAGTAACTCTAACCTACAAGGAAGAAGGTTGGGGTAAGGATGTGGGAGAAGCATTTTACAATCCAGGCAATACCCAGGGAAAAAACAGTAAATTTCATTTATTTCTTTATGAAGAGATAATGTATTTGTTCACTGAACAAGGGTGGAAACTGCTTAACCATCCCCAATTTCATTTCTGTTATGCTATAAATTAGATGAGTTACCTCTGCAAAGGTTTCATTTTATGGTTAAGTTACTTTTTAATCATCTTAAGTGTTGATATCAAAAGTATTTATTTCTTCAAGGGTGGAAATATTCTGTATCTGTACTTTACAGCCATTTAGCCATTCGCCACATGTGGTTACTTAAAATGTACTTAGAGAAACTGAAAAAATGAATTTGTAATTGATTCCACTCTATAAATGGTCACATGTGGCTACCATACTGGACAGCTCAGACTTAGATATCAACGGGACTAATGAAGTGATTTCCTAACTTAAACTAAAACTTAAATTTCAATAAAAACATGTAAAAACTTTTTTTTTTTTTGAGGCAGAGTTTTGCTCTTGTCACCCAGGCTGGAGTGCAGTGGCAAAATCTTGGCTCCGTTTCCCAGGTTCAAAGTGATTCTCCTGCCTCAGACTTCCAAGTAGCTGGGATTACAGGCATGCACCACCACACCCTGCTAATTTTGTATTTTTAGTAAAGATGGGGTTTCACCATGTTGGCCAGGCTGGTTTTGAACTCCTGACCTCAGGTGATCCACCCGCCTCGGCCTCCCAAAGTCCTGGGATTACAGGTGTGAGCCACGGCGCCAGACCTAAAAACGTTTTTATGAACCTCCAATATGATCGCAGTATTACTTTTAGTACCTGTTGACTCTGTAAAACTTCTAAATTACAACTCATCTACATACATTTGAAAAATAGCAGTTATCTGTATGTGTGAGAAATGACTGGTTCTAGATGATGCCTGGAGATTCCATGGACTTACAGAGATCCTTCCAGTGATTTCTGAGCTACCTGGCAATCTGTGGCCAATAAGTTGGTAATCACTGAATTAGTGAGCTTTTAGAAAATCGGGGTACATAAAATCTGACAGCTTGTTTTTAAAAAGGTGGGGCAGGGTGCCATTTAATTCAATTAAGGTACTGTATTAATTCCATTTAATAAATATTTGTATCTGTCTATGATGTGCTAGGCACTGTGCCAGTAAATGGGTACAGCTATGATCTGATTTGCAGAGGGAAATCCAAACTAGTATCTTCCATGCCATGCAATGAGGGATACATTGGAAGACTGCACTGGAGCATTGAGGTGAGTCAGAGGCTTCCCACAGGCACATATACCAGTGTGGAAAAAGAAAGTGTTTGTTTCTTTTTTTTTAAGACAAGAGTCTCGCTCTGTCGCCAGGCTGGAGTGCAGTGGCGCCATCTCAGCTAACTGCAACCTATGCCTCCCGGGTTCAAGAGATTTTCCTGCCTCCGCCTTTGGAGTAGCTGGGACTACAGGTACGCGCCACCACGCCCAGCTAATTTTTTTCCATTTTTAGTGGAGACGGGTTTCACCAAGTTGGCCACGATGGTCTCGATCTGTTGACCTCGAGATCTGCACACCCAGGCCTTTCACTGGGATTGACTGGCGTGAGCCGCTCCGCCGGGCCCATTAAGTCTTTTTTTTTTTT